CTTGTTTGCTGGCAGTACCAAACCGACCAGCACTACAACGACCAAGAAAGAGTGCGAGGTTATAGGTTGCAAGTTTAGCAACGTGCGCTTTGTGCATTCTTTTTCTTTCCCATGGTCTGTTGTAAGTGGGTTGCAAAGAGAAAAACGCCTCGCCGAACGCCAATATGGAGCCCCCTACTCTCGGTGAGCGGATAATCCGGAGTGTGGGGGCTATGACCTGCCACCGGAGGCTGGCTATTTCCTTTGGTGCGATGTGGCGAGGACTGCCAAGCGTGACCGAGCGAACTCAGGCAAGCTAGGGGGTGGGGAGAGTGGGCGAGCCTTCGTGGACTCATTTTCCCATCCTCCTACAGATTCATCAACCATTCGCAGCCGCCATGGGCCCTTGGGAAGAACAGTGATTGATCTATTATCACATACCTACCCCCCAGATCCTACTCTTTATGTACGTGTGTCTGTGCTTCCTGCATCTCCATATCCTGACATCCACAAACAGCTCACCTCGATTTTATAGAAATAGCTTTCTTCGTAAAATGCAAGACACCGTCATCATAACGGTAACCCTGTCACACATCCCTTTACGTACGTGCTCTGACAGCACCTCCTTGAACCCCCTCCACTCCTCCATCCGGACAAGGGAAGACCGACAGTCCCTCTTGCGCAAGGCACAAAAGACAGCGGCAAAAACAACAACGTTGGGGGGGGGAGGGGGAGGGGGACACGCGAATGGAAACGCCAAGTCGTTGGATCGAGGCATACGAACGAGTACAGCAGAGACACGAAATCAACTTACACACGACTAGGAAAACACAACACCACATCCTTGCGATTCCTTTTCGCACCCCTTCTCTTACCTCTCTCGCGCACCTTTATCTCATTTCGGGTGGGTGGTGTGACACCGACCACCAACACGGAGATGATCGTAACTATGTCGTGCGTGGCCCCCTTCGTCCTGCCATCACCCCCTTACTCCAAACAATCCAATGACCTCGAAAACAAATCAGCACGTCAGGGACGAAGAGAACGCATGGTTCGAGCGAGAGGCCGCCGGCAACGAGCAGGCTGTGCGGTGCATGCGCTCGCCCATGCCGGTGGGCGTGACTGACCTAGGACTGTCGCAGCTCGAGTAGGCCGCTACATATCGATGGGAGGTTGTTGTATCCGACCCCGCGGATACAGCGAACCCCCATCAATGGCGCGCTGCTCCAGCTGCGACGATCTGAGGCCGGTCACGCCCACCGGCACGGGCGAGCGCATGCACCGCAGCGCCTGCTCGTTGGCGGGGGCCTCTCTCTCTCGAACCAGGCCGTCTCTTCGTCCGCGACGTGCTGATGTTTAGGCAATATGGTTGGATTGATTGGAGTATGTGCTGTTTCTTTTGTGGTTTGAAGGAATTGATGCCAAGAAATGAAGACGCACGGGGTGATTGGGGGAGTCGGCGGGGTGTTGGTGCAAGGGTGAATGAACAAGCAACAAGGTGATGCCATGCGGGATTCGGGCGGTTAATTAAGCTACGCGGCATGACATCGAGTGAATAAACCACCGCATCCAGCAACACGCACAGCACCAGCAGCACCAGCAGGAGCAGCACCAGCAGTGACAGAACGCTTGGTTATCGACTAGAGCATTAGAAGCCCAAGAAAGCATTTAAGGACATCTCGCTGATTTGCGCGCGTAGCTCATATTCGTGGACAATTCACCTCTATTCTATCGTTACGATATTCGTCAATGAAAAAACACCACCTTCACATATGTGCTCTGGCAGCGCCTCCTTGAGCCCCCGCCACTCCTCCACCCGGTCAAGGAAAGACTGACAGTCCTGCGTAAGGCATAAACAGCAACGACAACAACAACA